CATCCTTCAGATTTCCAGGCTATAACTATGCATTAAGGGTCATTATAGCTTAACTAAGAGGAATAGTCCTCAAAAAAAAAATTAACTGTGTCAGGGATCCACTGAAACCCACGACTGAATGGCCTCGGTGATTTTTAACTATGCTCTCCACCAAAGAAATAGTTAAAGGCACACTGAGGAATAACAGCTTTAAATATTTCAATGGTAGGATAGACTGAAAGTGATTTCACTTAATAAATAGCCACATTTTCCATAGTGAACCAACTCTAAGATTTGCTGTTGAAGGAAATTATTGTGATAGGCTGCTTCCTATGCTGTGTGGGTGGGTATCTGTTATCTGCAATGCCCCTGTATATTTAACCAATGGCCATATATGAGGAAAAAGGGTCTTCCAGTGTCTAAGGCAATGGATCCAGTGATGCCCAGTCTCCATTAAATATGGCTAAATGACAACTGTTCTAAGAAGTCAAGGCTCACCTGCCCCAACTCTGAATAAGCCTGCCTCTGATAGAGTGAAGTATCTGTTCAACCCTCAGGGTCAAACCAAGAAAGTAAATGTTTCCTAGAGGAAGGTAACATTACAATCCTAAACATATCTCTTAGTACCATGTAAATAAGGTCTAGTATTTTATTAGAAATTATGGACTATGCAAGGAGACATGATTGATGAATGAAAATCTAGAGGAAAAAGCAAGAGGGATAAATATACAAAGGGTTTCATAAGAATACAGATACTGAAGTGGGTACAAACTGTGAGAAGGATGTTATCTATATACTCAAAGACAAAGATATTTTGTAAGATGCTTAATTTTATCAGATAAAGAAGTCTGTAGTTGGCAAGAGATGAAAGTACTCAACTGCAAGATTGAAAGACACAGTGCAGCAGCAGTAGGTCATTTGAAGGGAAAAACAGAAACAAATGTGTGTCTCACTGATTTGGCTTCACTCTAAGTAGACTGTTCTGATGTTAGCTAAAATAAGCAACTAGATGACAAGAAGAACCTGTAATATTAAGCGGGATTTCAAAGCTTTGGTTGAATAATGCAGACCTTCCACCTCAGAAGAAGGAACTATCTGAAGGAATCCACGCTGCTCCTTCATCTCTCATGGTGCAGCTGGACACTGCTGCAGAAACAGTGAGAACGATGAGCAAATCCATATCCATCCACAGTTGAGGGAGCAGCAGCAATTCCCTAATGCAATCCTATCAGAAGCAAGATTATTGTGGGAAGTGAAAATGGGTTTTCTAACTTATTGATCATTCTTTATCAGTGTGATCATTCACACTCAGCAGTGTGAAAAATTAACACTGTTGGAAAATGAGTATTTTGGAAGCTTGACAGACCTGGAGGTCATTTGAGCAGTTGGTATGGTTGACCTGTATGACAGTGGTCACTAAAAGAAACTTATGCAGTCAAGAGAGCAATGGAAATGAAATTTATTGCATGAAATGCATTATTAGTTTTAACTTGCAATAGAACCAAGTCCTTTACTGGTGGATTTATGTAAGGAAGATTTTTTTTTTCTTTTCCCTTACTCTAAATATAACACAACCAAGCAAAGCTGTCCTCAGCTTGTAAAAAGTAAGTCAGGACAGAGGAAATTGTGCTTACTTCTCTACAATTTCAGTTCTTCATTGTGGATACACAGAATTTTATTTATAATGTATATTGTCTGTAAATAAAATTTACAGACTAACCTGCATAGCTCTTCTGATTATGTTTATATTTGTATAATGTGGCAGAGATCAATTAAAAGAATGATTGACAGCAAATATCAACAAGAATTTATTGGAAACACAAATAAGTTGGTTTATGAGTTGTTATTCATAGTCTCCTTGGGAAAGAAAAAGATCAAGACGCTAGGAGCACCAAACAAAGAGATTTAATGCTAGATTACGTGTTATCTAGTTGTGTAT